TGCGTGTGTATGTGCGAATTATTATTGAAATATCAGTTACTCGAAGGGTTCAGGGAATCTCGTAGTCGAGCAGTCTAGAGCTTTATTACTTGTTTTCATATCAAATTTGTTAATTTAAATGCTCAAATACGGTATAAAACTCCGATTCACTTTCCCAAACTATATATTTGTATAATTTATTCTTATTATTATATAATGAACTGGATATAAAAAAGCAGTATAAATTAGTATTTTACTTATTTTTTTTATGAAATATTTCATTATTCTAATATATTTTATTATTCTAATATATATTTCTGAAATTATGAGTTCAATTATTTCAGCTTTGCATTTAAATACTTTAGATTTTCTATAATCATTGACATTAAGCTTTTAAGCTTTTAAGCATTTTATATATTTTTTTTTATAGTTTATACATTTATTTTTAAGATTTATTTTTATTTTACATTTATATTTGTTATAGAATATATTTTTTTTAAATTCTGCTCTTAGTGAAACTTTTGAACTATATACAATACCTGGTGTTTAATTATCTAATTATTTTTATTATATACTAACTTTAAAGTCATGTTCTCAATCAGTACTTATTTAGAAATAAAAGAATCACCAAAATATATATATATTACATATACAGATAATATAACATTTTTAATCAAGATTTCTATCTTAGCATTTCTCCTGCTTGTTGCTCCGACTCCATCTTTAGCTGCTTGAATAATTCCTCTGCTTAACTTACATATAAGCTCCATCGAGCTGCTACTACTGCTGTCAAGCTGGCATATAGAGCCGGGAACATTTAAATGACCGTCTAGTTGGATTTTATTGTCCTGAAGGGGCTTGAAGCTCAAGCTGGAGCGAAAGGTGTGCGCAGGCAACTAATGACCCGGTATTTATATGACAGGCCAAAGTTTATAAATATTTATGGGCCATGTTGTTGTGCTCCAACTCTCTCTCTCTCACTGTTGTTGTTGTTGTTGTTATTGCCGTTGCTGACTTACTTCAGGCGCCAACTCATTTGCTTATTTTAAAATTCCGGGCAGGCGTTGTTTCATTTTTGACACCCAGGTCCCAAATGCTATCCCCAGTTCGAAGTCCTCAGCCCTGTCATCGCACGTTGTTGCCATTGTCACGCACACACGTACTATATTTTTTACGCGCATATCATATTACACACTCACACACACACACATACACAAAGCACCCCTTTTATACATTTTCGAGGGATTTTTCGGCTGTAGCTCGCCAAGCAAATAGAATCACGTACACTAATTATCATCACCATTGCGCGCTCAAAAATATATTTTTATTAATTTCATTGAGGGCCACAGAGGTAATGCACATACCCTGCCAAACTTCTTCCCCAACAACTAACCCCAATTTTTAATTGAGATCTGGCAAATGGGATATACCTACCCATATGACTATACGACTCGCCACACCACCTGCATAAATTGGTTGCTCTGTGTGAGGAGGTGCATGTAAATTTCGTACTTCTTGCTAGTTTTATAGTTAGATTAGATTAGATAACATACAATTAGCCATTAAATGTTTCACTTTAACACACACACATGACATTGAATGCGAATCGTTTAAGTTTGTGTATTGCGTTATTAAAGATAAAGCCAGTTAAGCCAAGGTGCTTTCTATCTATCGACGTTCTGGCTAAATTGTTTTATCTGTTGAGCGGCAAACAAAATGCAAAACGTCTTGGAGTACATACATATATAATATGGTCGATATTTTCAAATTAATCTGAATAGTCCGGTATAAAAATATATATATATATATTAGCTTATTTCATTATTTACATTACAGACAATTAAGCTTCAAGTCTTTAATATTATGTAGCAAACTGGTGTCTGTACTTTCGAAAGACGAGTAAATGTCTAATCAGAAATCGGTTAAAAATCGATTTTAGACATCAGTTATTATCGTATCTTAAGATCCAGTCAAGAACAGCTAAGTTAGGTAATAAAAACAATAGAAGTGATTCTTCAAAGTTGAAAAAATCTAATCTTCAAAAATAGAAAATTGTCTTTTAACTCATATATATACATATGTATGTAGTACATAGCTCATAGCTTCTTTAGAGAAGCTGTTCACAGACGAGAACTACAGTTTATCTCAATATCTCCATATGTTTTTTATGGCTGACGCAGGTAAAATATTTATGCAGCGTCAATCAGTTCGTCACTCTGGCTGGTGTGTATAAGAAACATCATCTTCTAGGAGTCCACATTGGAGCCAGGAGCTGTTCCGTATTGTCCACAAGAAGGAGCTTTTGTATGTGCCGGCATCTTATTCTCAAATACTGTATCTGCAGTACAGTATTCCCCTTAGAGTAATTGCTATTATTTTATCAGTTATCAGTTTTTGCCATAGAACACAATAAAAGCAATAAAAATCTGTTCAAAGCACTTTATTGAATTTTATGATAAAAATTCCAATTTTTTATTTATTGTTATTTATTGTTAGTAGTAGTAAGTAGTGCGTAGAACAATTTATTGTTTGCTTAACAAATATTTAAAGCAAGTAAACTATATATAACTATATTTTTTATATATGTGTCATATTTTTTATTTTATTCATTGGAACTAGATCATTTTTTATACTTCCGTGCATATAGACTATTTGAATGTGCAATCTGTGTTGCTTTTTTTTTTTATAACAAAGTGTTTGCTGCAGATAAGACGACTCACCTGTCCGGCCCAGCGGAGATAATAAGAGCGCGATAGTGTTTTATCTACAGATAAGACTATTTTGCTATTGCAATACACACGCACATGTACACGCACACTCCCGCACTCTTACGTACATTCGTGGAGAACGTTTTCCACAGATTGGCACTGAGTGAATACAATAATAGGGCGATCTGGCATTATACAGTAGTAGGGCCCAGTCCGTGTAGCGTGCAACAAGTCGTAGTTCGATCGCAGCTAAATAGTTATTAAACAAAAATAAACTACATAACTATATAATGGATCGCACACGTGTTGAAGTGATAAATGTGCCCCCACCGAAGGGCCCAACAACGGTTATTGTCCAGCCTCCACCGCCAAAGGAGAAGGGCTGCTGCTGCTGCCCCTGCTGTCCCTGTTGCTTTAGCTGCGGCGAATGTTGTTGCTGTTGCACGATAATGTAGAGGAACAACAACAAAAACAACTACAACATTTGACAACGACCACAACAATACGAACTTCAAACAAAGGCGCTGCAAATCCTTTAATGCTTTACGTTAAATTAAGTTTCTATGGCTTGTGAAGCACACGCACACACACACACATACACACTTTTTTCGTGCAATAAAATTTTACGATTTGTTATAAATAATGTTTTCTGTGCGGTACACGGGGCTGTGGTTGAACACTTGGGCAGCACATTGTCTTGCATAAATCTCGAATGTTTTTCTGGCCTGCTCTAATAAAAAGCCAAATTTAATAACACACACATACACACACACACACACACACACACTCACACACCAACACTAGCACACACTCACATAAACCGCAAAAATTTGTAGTTTTATGAGCGGGCTTATGGCAACCCTTTGACATGGCCTACAAATACGTATAATATGTATGTAAGTGTGTACATAAACTTGCTAGTGGAAAACTTAGTTCGCATTCCCAGTTATTATTTATATATGTTTTTCAATTTGCCAATAAAAGCGAAAATGTGTCAAAAAGTGCCGCCTGCTGCCATTTGATAAAACATTTTATGTGAGTTCTTTGGTAGATCTTTGCGTATTGCAACCGCAGAGCTAAAAGTTTCTTCAGTTTTCCTCACTTTCTTTCGTTTTTTTTTTTTAGCGACAGTTTTGACAAGGGTTCGACAAGGTGAGGCGAGTGGTGGCATTGTGGGTTGCTGGGTCACCCATTCAGCGTAATTTGTGTGTACTTTTTTTCCACTTGCCGTTTATCTATAGCCCAAACCATATTACTCATACGCACTGTTGCACGCGAGGCGCCGAACAGTGGTGGAGATAGCAGTAAATGTTTAAGTCATAAATTTATAAGAATTATATGGGTACAATTATCAGAATGTTCCCGATTTCAGATTGGTTAAAATCACATTATTATCTAGTATGAAAGTAGCTAGCATAGTTTAACCAAATATCGTTCATATTAAATAATAAGTAATAAACTGATTTTACATACTTAATGGTTATATATACTTTATATATTTCACTTTATATTTAAATTATTTTTTTTTATTATATATTATGTTTTTTTTTTATTCATAAATTATTAATATTTAATGCAGAGTCGATATTTAGGTATATAAAATATTTATTTATTAATTTGTATTGCATATTGAACAATACTTTTTAACATGCACTTAGTTTTGGAGGTAATTACTGTAAATTTGTAAGTAAATTCAAAATTTAAAATTTTTGAAATTAAATTAATAAAATCAGTATTCGAAATATTAATATTAATTAATTAGGCTAAAATTATTAATATTTAGCTATTAACTATTATTAAATAGTATTTTGATATCTATTAATTACTACCTTAAATAAAAAAAAAATAAGCTAAGAAATTAAATTTAAATATTAATTTTTAAAATTTTACATATTTATATCATATTTTTATAATTTTTTCTAAATTAGTCTCAAACTCTATTTTTTAAAAATAAATTTATTAAAAATTGATATTATTTAAACAACTGTCAAAATATTTAATAAACAAAAACGGGAATTAAATAAGCAGATACGTTTTACAAATCAATAATTTATCAAATAATTTAATATATATTTAAATATGTAATTTTTTTCATTTCTATTCAAATTGCCTCACGGTGCCTTATGTCTCTACTTTTCTGACACTTACACAAAACTGTTTTATTATCAGAGCTCATTGATCAAATGCCTCAGGCTTATGATAAAATAAAAAAAAAAAATGTATTCAATGCGAAAATTGTACCCAAAACAAATTGTCAGCGAAATAGAATTTTAGTTTAAAACGAGTCACTGCGACGAACAACATAACATTTAGTCAATTGAATTAGTTGCTCACTCGCCGGAGTTAACGACAAACAAGATCATGTACAACCCGGGCTACCAAGTAGATGTCATCGATCCCTACTATCCACCGCCAGTCGAGGTCATCGAGGTCGTGCCGCAACCAGCCTACGCGCAGCCAACCGTAGTCGTCACGCAGCCTCAAACGGTATATGTGGAGGACAACAATGGACCCACAAGAGAGCAAATGGAATGCTGCCTGCTGCTAGGCGCCTGCTGTGTGGCGGAAGAGGCCGGCTGTGTTATATTATAACGTTCCATTTCTTTATGAAATTTAAAATTGTGTGTAGTGTGAAGATTGTTTAAGAATAATGTATGTGAATAAATTATAATTGAAAAGTGAAATTTGTTTGTTTTTATTGAATCATACTCAATTAAGGCGGTGATTAAACACCATAAATAATATAACTGACTAGTCTTCAAATATGTAAGACTTATGTTGTAAAATAAAGCTAAATAACGAATTAATATTTTTATATTTGTACACATGAACAATATATGCCAAATAGCTAATAATAATAATATTAATAAAAATAATCAAATATTTAGGGAAATAAATCAATAAACTGTTGAATATTAAATAAATAGACATTTCCTCCGACCATTTTCCTTAAATATTGACTCCAGGTGTTTGTTCATGTATTTCTTCCAAGTCTGTCTTCGAATTATTTAATTTAAATTTTTATACCCTGAACCCATTGAAAATGGGAAATCAGGGTATAATGGTTTTG